AAAAGCAGAGTATAAATTGAATGAATAAATAAATAAACTGCAGTATTGGCCATTTAGCTTTTAAAACCTTGTGAGATTTATACAAGAGGAAAAACAAGGCGTACTTTCCTCCACCCCCCCCTTCCCAGGCATTAGCAATCATTGCAAATATTGAATGTATTGTTTGCTGTGGCAACAGTTGCCTTGAAAGCAGTTGCAGCCAGAGTGAATGTCAAAGGTTTCTTTGCAAAAATAACTGTGACATCCAGAGGGGCTTTGCAGGGGGGTAACACAGGAATGGACAAATTCTGTGTATTTTGTAAATGCCATTTACAAAGAAATTACTTGGCTGTAGCTGATGGAAATTTGGTGTAACTGCACCAAACCCAGGTATAGAGAGGCTTCGTCCCTTCTTGTGCATATGCTTGTTTGGGGCCCCCTTTTCCCAGGCTGACAGTTGATTTGTTTGTAGTAAATCTTTGCCATCATAAACAAGAGTAATTATAACATCTTATTTTTTTGAGAATTAGTAAGAATATTTCCTCGTAAATACTAAGGATCCCTAAGTTTCTGTAGATCCAAAAGATCTTGTGAGCTGTTTGAGTCACTATTCCAAGAAAAAAAAAAAGGTTTTTGTATGTTTCTTGTAATGAGATTAACATCTACATCCTTGTGATAAATCACTTAGGAAAAACTGGGATTTTACGTATAAGAAGTAAATTGCCCATCTTCCGTTATATTATGGCCCACCACTATGCCATTCATTGAGAGACAAGGATCAGGAATAACAGGAGAGAAAAATAAAAGAGGCCTGAAGTTACTTTTGTTAGGTACACATTTTATTGATTGCAGTGAAGCAGGCAGGAAATTTTGTGAACAGTTGCATTTATAAATGCTGTACAAAGTGTCCTCTTTCCTTCCCCATGCGATAAAAGGTTTTCCAGTAAGCAAATGGCTGATTATTAAATGGGAGACCAGAACTGCACAATGAACTAGGTTTGTTGAGGTTGAACACTAGGCAGGGTGGGACAATTAAATTCTGTTAAGCTGCCCACAATAGCAATTTCCATTGCTAAGGTAGAAATTATGTAAAACGTAGACAAGGCACTGACGATAGTAGCGTAAGTTTTGTTTTGTTTTTTGTTAAATCCATGTAAGTTGCATATATTTATTTTCATATATCAGATAAGCAAACAAAAATGCTTCCAAAAGTGAGCAATAATACTGAAAGAAAGGCACTTTTCTCTGTCACAGCAAAGTACATTGAAGTAAAGTTTTAGTGACATGTTGTGAGGATTTGGAGAGGTGGGAAATACAAGCTGTAGGTTTAATGTCTAGCATAGGCTCACTTAATATGTTGGCAAATGGAATATATTTGATGTCTGATTTGATATAATACATGTTCTATTATATGACTACAAGGAAGGTTCCCTAGAGGTCAACATATTCTTTATAGCTTTTTCATTATCAAACCTTGTCAGCAGAAATTATTCTTTCCTGAAATAAGTTTGCTCAGAGTACAGAAGACGTCAGTGTCCCAGTCTCACATGGCTCAGATTTGTTTCTTTTTGATAACTGACTCAGATTACTTTTTAAAAGAGTTGCTAGATCTGCAATCAAACAATCAAATTTAATTCCTTATGGGCATTTTTTCGAATTCTCATCAGTAGGAAAAAAAAAACCTGCCTTAATCTATACCCTCCTGGCTGCTTTACCTGTTGCAGCTCTAATTCACTCAGATTTCCCAGAACGTTTGAAACAAGATGTATCTTCCTTTCATCGTGTGTCACTGCAGAATATGAAAATATAAAGGAGGGAGGGAGGAAGATTCTTGGTTCCCTGTTTTAAATGACCTGCTCTCACAAATCTGTGGCGTATGCTAATACTGAAAACTAGTACATGAAGTCTCTTGCATTCCCTTCCTGCAACACAGAGTGAGAGAGGGAGGGATGTCTTGAATACCCAAAAGAGCACAAAGCTGCCGCCATTTTAAAGCATAACTTTCAGGACATGGTTAGCTCCTACATAAAGGAAATAATCCTATGGATTTCAGAGCCGTTTTTAAACTATAACATGCCTTCTCTTTGATCCAGATTAAGAGAACTGAATGAATGAACTTGATTTTACACGATTAGCTCCAGAAAAAAACTATAAAAATGGAGGCAACAGTCCTGTTTTGAATAGGCAGCTGTATAATTTACTTCATAAAAAGGGGCCATGACTTCCTAGAAAATGACTGCTTTAATACAAATATCTATCTACCTATCTTTCTCTGTGTATATTTTCGCATTCAGGGAGCATAATTCGATGTATGAGGCGGCTAGAGGAATTGCTCAGACAGATGTGCCAAGCAGCAAAGGCCATTGGAAATACAGAACTGGAAAACAAATTTGCAGAAGGTTTGTATGTACAATATTATATAAATACGTGCATCTTAAAATGTAGAATATATTTACAAGCAATTTAAAATTGCTTGGCCACAAGCCAAAATATTCCTTTTGAACTAAACATGCCTGTTATAATCTGCTATTGCTGATATTTGAAGGGGGGTGTTACCTAGGAGACCGCTAGTGTTTCCATAGCACTGTCAAAATAGCTGTGCAATATCTTGAAGTGGAAACTGAGAGAAAATACATATTTTAAAAATTCAGTTTTTTTTTAATCCATTCAATCATGTCCCATTCTCAGAGACTGCCTGGATAAGTCCCTGCAGTTTTCTTGGCAAGATTTTTCAGAAGTTTAATTTCATATGCATTTTAGTAGACCTTAAGCAAGCAGTATCTGGGTACAACTATGCCCTTAAGATTGGATATACCTTTCTTTTTTCTTCTCAACAGGAATTACAAAAATCAAGCGAGACATTGTGTTTGCTGCAAGTCTTTACCTATAAGAAATGCGTTCCTGTAGTGGTGTCTGAACAGCATTCATTCTGCAGCAGTTGCTCCAAGGAAGGGCCACTACAATGACCAGTGCTTCCTCTTCCCAAGCAAGACAAATTCTTTCTTTGAATGTATTCCACTGCTGTTTGTATATGAGTATTACACATTATTTTAATTAAAAAATAGCCAGGATACTCTGTTTATAAAGCAAAAGCTTGAACCCATAGAAATTCGAGATTTTTAGATACATTGTTGTTAACTATATACATGTAAAGTGAGCATCCAAGAGGTATAGCAGCAGCAGTCCCTTCAAAAGGCATTTAATTTATTTATGGTTTTTACATAGACCAGAAAGATTTGTGAAATTTTCCTTTTAAACAGCAGGAGATTCCACAGGATAATAGCTCTTGAACCTGTCATGGCTGGTGATTAGTGCCATAGTGATTTCCATTGGTAGGCGTCTCATGTAGAGTTGTATGTGAATCTTCTTCCTCCTTCTGTTTAAATGTACGGCCTCTCTCTTTGAAGAAATCTGAGACATACACAACCTGTAAAGACACAGTAGTCAGTATTAGGCATCAGCAGATGGAATAGTACTTAAACTGTTGTTACTTTCCTTCTGCAGCCATCAACCACTGCTGTGGACATTAGTTCCAACTGAAGGATTTTCTCTAGAAATGGTAGCTGATACCCAACAACTGATTTACAGAGCAGGAAGGGGAAAAAGGGCTGATACATGGGATACTGAAATGTGGTAACAGGCTGCTTTGTTCTCCAGTATTCAGCGAATGCCAAATTTCATGTCATCTTTTCCCCATTGTAGTGAAGCTACAACACACTAAACTGGTTTAAGTATATATGAAGTCCCCTTTGTGGTTTACTTCAGTTGAAAAAAAAAACTAAAAGATGGTGAGTCAAATCAGCTTATTTGAAAATGGAACTGATGAAATGGTAGAAAAATGTTGTTACGGACTTACAACAAGTGCTGCTACCAGAGCTCCCTGGATGAGTCCAGTCAACACATCGCTCCAGTGATGTTTGTAATCAGAAACACGGGAGAGGCCCACATAGATGGATGCAGCAATAAGCCCAAACTGGACTGTAGGACGCAAAAGTCTTGCCCAGTCACTTTTCATTCTGGCCTGAAGATAAAGCTAAAACCAAAAAGACACACTTTCAGCAAGAGAACCAAAGATTTGTCTAAACTTAAACATCATTTCTTGTAGAAAATACAATCAAGTAATGGATAGTAATGGATACTGGTATTTCAGAAGGGGGTTGGATCACCTCGCCAAGATAAGCATAGAGACAATTTGAGTGCAGTTTGTTCATATTCAATATTGTGCTTGATATTTTTACAGATGTCCTTTCTATTGGCCTTTTAAAATATGTATGTATAAAGTGTTGCCCATTTTTAAATTCAAGTGGTACAGTGTTTAATAATAGGTTACAGATGTCATTAACTGCCTTATCTGAATTAGGAGATAGTCAATGCAACAATCATTTCTTTAGCAGTCACTGTGAAAAAGCATCTCCTTACTAGTATTCTGAGGTGTCTAATGCCTTATCTTGGGTTTGGGAATGTTAGTCACAAGACAGTTGCAGTAACAACCAGAACCAGAGAGGGCATTTTCTGAAAAAGTTTCCACTTGTCTTCTTCAAGAGAGTCAGAAATGTGCTCCTTCCTCCTAGGCAGTATTCACCATGGCCTAGAAGTGACCTGTTCAGACCCCCCTTCCTTAAGATCCATAAGGGGGAAACACAAAGATGTAAGCGTACTTTGGCAAGTAATTTATCTATATCCCCATACACTAAAACTATTCAACAAATGATTATATGGTGTTCTGGGCATAACCATGAAAAATACTATCAGAAGCAAAACACTGTCTAAACTCACATATGCTGTGAACCAGACTCCAAGTTGCATGTGCACTTCCAAAGATAAACTTGAAAAGCTGTCTGCCTGCTAGAAACATTAGATCCATCTGAATGAATACACATACACAGACTAGTAGTTGCTAGTTTCCAGAGTTAAATTTTTGGAGAATATCCAATAGGTTTTTGAAACTAGTGATTACATCACCCTTTTGGTACTCATCTGTGTCATTCTGCTATAAAAAGACTGAAGTTTAATGCTATATGGAGTAATTTTTAAACAACTAGGTAAGTTTTTCATAGACTGAAGCTGTACTACAGGTATGATTGTTCTTAAAAGTTCGCATGATTGAAGTTTAAGACATTCTGCAGGCATATTCTTCAAAGATGAATGCAGGAGTTTGACAGCAAAGGCAGGTATGAAGTTCAACATAGTAAAATTGCATAGTAGTGTTCCAAGCCAAACAGTTTTCTCTAGGCCTTTTTGTGACTGTGACCGTTACACTAATGTAAACCATTTATTTCCAATGAGAAGTAGAGCCAGGAGTTATTCTGGTGGTCTAAAAAAAGCAGGCTGGCAATACTGTCCTGGCATACATCCTTTTTTCCAGTTTAGGAATTCCACTGAAGACATTGAAAAATGCATTACTTGGCTAATATGGTTTCCACACACAGGCAATTGCTGTAGTTGGCAGAGCAACATTACACACGTGGGAGGGAGGGTGGTATATGTGGTTATGAGTGGGAGAAAAGGTGGAACCTTAAGACAGTCCTTTAGAAGCTTGTGGTTCATACACAGGTTGAGTGCCTGGGATCTAGGTGGTAGCTGGTAGGATTTCATCCTACTTGCCAACATGTCAAAATTGAATAAATTATTAAAATGTGGTGTTTGAACCTCCCTGAAGTAGAAATGGTTTCATAAAGCAGGATTCTGAACAACTGAGATGGCAAAACAGGAAACTCAGGTTTAATGTTTATTCATGGATTTTATTTCCATATGTTAGAGGCACTAAGATACTCAGTGCCTTGCCAGGCTCCTGGCAGAAATGAAGGAGAAACAGCATTTGCTGTGCTGTGTCTCTTCTGCAGTTGTTAAAAAAAGTTATGAAATTAATGAGTGAATAAATCTGTGTTACATTTAGGCCCGAGGTAAATTAAGTGGTATGGGGTTCTGCTCAGGCTGTGAAGGGGTTGAATCCAGCATATTTATGGTTTCTCGGTGCATCTCCTTTGGGCTCTGTCGCAAAAGCCTTGAAGGCTGGGGTGAGGGGGTGTATATGGCAGGAGACATGACGACCACAGACTTCTTCCTCTGAGATGAGATCTCTGCTGAGGAAAGTGCAAAATATTTTTATTCTCTGTTCCGAAATCTGTATGTCATTCATGCCCATTTTTAGATTAGACAGTTTACAAACTCTCACCCTAAAGTTCCAGAAAGCCCCTTTTTTATATTTACATAAAATACCCTATTAAATTGAAAAGATTCTGTAATCTCAGGCTAGGTTAGTTTCCTTTATCTACAACAAGTAACCTGTAATCCTCTATCCATGTTACCACCAAGTCCCACCCTCTTTTGGAAGCTGTTCATTAGGATTAAATTAAATGTTTCAAGGTGGAAATAACTGCAAGTATTAGGTAGGTAATGAATTAATTCAAAGTTAGAATCTCTTTAGACTGGAGTGGCATTTAATTGTATAAATAAAAAATACTTTGAGGAAAACCAAGTAAAATTAAGTTATATTCTGTTTTTCCAGCAATCAGGATGTTTCCAGTGGATTTTTCTTCCTCCAAAAGTACTGCAGCAGTGCTCCTTGGCTAACTTTGTGCACATTTTTGGGTTGCTACCAACTGCAGGGGAGGAGCAGGATCACAAGGGGTTAAGTGGTTACAGCAGAGTGGGAGTAAAGATGCTGGTCATGGAGACATCAGTGCCAAGGCATTTCTAAGCTTGCTGGCCCTGAGCAAAAGGATGGAGACAAATGACTTGTTTATAAATTTACAACAGAGCCATTTAATTTCTCTACCCTATTCCAAAGGTGGTTATTTATATTATATACAACATGTTGCTGCATTTTATAGGCTACATTTAAATGTTCTTTTGTTAATTTAAAATAACCTCCCATAGATTCCTTCAAGATATGGTTAGGGAACTTAGTAAACTTTTCACCCATAATTAAATGCAAGATTTTTGCCACAAACATACTACAGTAAGTACACTGTTCTTCACTTTTGATCCAACACTTTTCCATTGGAAGTTGAAATGCAACCCTCATTCCACTCCATCCATTTTTCAAAAAGGCCCATGGGTCCATTTAATATATTTCCAAGAACAGAAACATTTGCTATCTAAAAGCATTTATAAACATCACAGCCAGCAAACTTAAAAGGGTTTTTGGAACCACTATTAAATAGTTCTAGAAGATCTGACCAAAAAAAAAAAAAAAACTCTAATAAGTAATTATTTCTAGCCATTTTCTGCAGTTCTTTTTTCACAGATACTATGCAATCCTCTGGATCTACGATGTACAGTCAGCTACCGCAACAGAACACACTGTTGTTTTTTTCTGAGACTCTTCTTAGCGCCTGGTTGTCATGATGTGTTCCACCACAGCAAAATTTTCCACTACAATGCTGCTCCTTGCTATGTGTTTCCATGGAATTGTACTCTGTAATGAGATCTGGGCTCACACAGTCATGACTTAAGAGCTTATAAAATGTAGGCCGGGCATTATGTTTTGTTCTAATGCCTACAAAGAATGACTAAATGAAAGAACGAAGGAGAAGGTGTATGTCGATAGGCGTTAGACTTCAGGCAAAGGCTGTGAAATAATCAGACAGTTTTCAAGCGTTAAGCTTTCCATAGAGGACACCCGTTGCGCCTTTAGCTTCTTTTTTGCCATATACACTAAATAAAAGTCAGACGCTTGCAGATCACATTTAAAGCCATGGCCACAGAATACAGTCAAAGAGGCTTTTTAACCTTGAAGTGATCATCTAATTCAGTGTTTCTCAACCCTGGCAGCTTGAAGATGTGTGGACTTCCACTCCCAGAATTCCCCAGCCAGTATCTTCTGGGAGTG